AATTGTGGATTGAGATACTTGACGTAAAAATTACTGGTAGTGCAAGAGCTATTTCTGTCTGTTTATACATACCAATCACAAAAATGTTAACTGTAGAAAGGCAGATTAGAACATGCAAGTAGTTACATATTGCCGGCAGTTGGTATAATTACTACTTCAGTTATAAACAGGTGTATGTAGGGAAGCAGAGTCTTCTTTTGCACTCCTCTAAATGTGTTCAACACTGAAGCTGAAAACTTTTCCTTTAGTTAGCAGAAAGAGCAGCTCACATGTTCTTGTTCTCTTTAGGCCAGTATCTGTTAGAAGAAACCAAATAATATTCAGTCATAGACATAAAGCGGATGCCAGGCTATCTAGCATTCACAGGACAGGAAAATTCATAATTCAGGAGTTCAGGAGTGTTTCTCCGCTTCTCCCCACCCTGATTTTAATCTGTTTCCATTCTCTTGTCCTATTTCCATGGACATCTGGTTCCAAAGATAACTTTAAACAAACACCAAGGTGAACAATATTTATATTGCATATTTATATTGAATATCTGTGTCTTTGCCTGCCAGGAAGTCTTATGGCTATGTGAATTAACCTCCTCTTGAAATGTCTAGATGATCGGGTTTAATCAGCCTGAGATGAAAATTTTAAATTATTGAAACTTCCATCCTTCTGCATATACCAGAATAAACTGTGCTAGAAACATTTAAAAACCCCGACATGTCCAGAAAGAAAAAAATCTTTTAGCTGAATATTATAATTGATTTGGCTATAGCTCTTTGAGGAAGGTGGCTTCAAAGGGGACATTCCAACATGACAAAGGAGAGCTGAGGATCAAGGCTCAGGGAAGTTACCTCTCACACTGTGAGCTCAGAAGAGAAAACTGAACAATATAAGTGGTTACACCTTACTTTGTCTTGTATGACACATGATACGATTCTATTTTTTATAATCATTTCAAGAAAAGCTGTTTAGACTTCAGGGTCATGATTGGATAGTATGTGCAGATCAGTAAAATGGGCCAACACAGTGCATTGCTTCTGAGGATGCTGGCTTATTTATAACTTGAATTATTATAACCTCTTTTTTTTTTTTTTTTTTTTTTTTTCCCCCCAACCTGGCTATTCTAACTTCATCCACCAGAGCAATGCAGAAGTTTTTGCGCAGAAATTCTGAACTGAGGACAAGCAGACCCATCATTAAGTCTCATAGAAAAGAGCAAGATCAAAATTAGTGACCCTAATAGATATTTTTTCCCACTTTGCTTACAACATCAAAAAGACTTTAAATTTCTTTAAATAGGATTTTACTGACAACGTGGTCAGAAGAATGAAGATTATATATACTTGCCATGGGTAATTTGTTAAAGGAAAGGAAGGAGAAGGGAAGAATATTTATCCCAATTAAATCTTTTTAAGATTCCCTGGAAATGACAAACTATTAGCTTTGAATATGGAGGATGTCCATAGGACTTGCCAGTCAGAGGAAACACACCTGCGGGGTTTATTTTCAGGACATACTATGGAAAGGTGTGCTGCTGCAAAGATTGTATGTTACGCAATACAAGTAGTGCCACTGAAGTCGATATAGAAGGTAATAAGACTCTGCATAGTCTGTAGAGTTAATCGAATATATAAAACAGTGATTTACTTACACGAGCACTAAATATATGCAAGAAAAGAAATGAGGAGGCTGGGATGCAACATAGTTGTATATAGTTTATATTTTCTTTCTTGTACTTCCTGTACTTTTCTAACAGTCTTTTGTTCTTTAGCATTTTCTTTTAAAATAATCCTTTTTTCTTTGCTCTTTTCTGTTTACAGTTTAATCCTTTTCATTTTCACTTTTCTTCCCTCAAGCACTTCTGAGCTCTCTTCTACCTTTTTCTTCTTTGACCTGGTCTAACAACTGTGTCCTAGCCTATTTCCCAGCTAAGTGAGGCTTAAGGGTATTTGAATTCAATTTGGGCCCATCTCTACTCCAACAACAATGTTGCTAAAGTAATACCATTAGGTCACTAAGATACTGTATAAGGCAACAGAACATGGCTAATAAATGTTATTTCTTTTCTGGACAAAGTAACTTGTGCATTGTTGTAATTGATGTTCAAGGAAAGTACTTGTAGATTCCAAGCACTGTGTCATATTCTGCAAAATGCTCATTTGACTGTTCTTTTTCAAAATTGATTCCCCATAAGGGAAGAAGGGTTTTTTTAATGATTCATTTAAACTTGACACATCTTAGTGAATGCTGGAGCACTAGGGATGGTATTTTTTCCCCATTTATGTTCTTGCCAGACATTCTCTGTCTCTGAAGAGGAAAGATTCCCCACAGTAAACTGTAAAAGCAATGTGATTCTTTTTGCTTAACAAAAGAGAGTTAGTGTTAGAATGCTTTTTAAGTTTTTCTTATAGTTAAGAGGTAGATGGTTTAACTTTATGCTTTATATAAACCAATTTAGAAGTGAAACAGTTGTGTGAAATCCAATAGCAACTGAGGTATAAATTAAACAGCAAAGTCTGTACAGTTTTAAAAAAAGAATATTTTATAAGTTTTATGGTTGGAGAAGAGATAGTAGATGCAATATAATCACGATTTCGCAGGGGTTTTGTCCATGTTACTAATAATATTATCATTAACAAAATGTGGAAGTAAGTTATAGATAATATTATATTATGGCTGATACAATATTTCTTTGAAAGCTATCCAGAGAGTGGTTGTTGATGGTTCACAGTCAAAACTGTGAAAAAAATTACGGGGTTGGACTCTCTGGCATTCTTGTTCCTCATTAGACATACATGACAAAATTTCTGTGTGATGACACTATTCTAGGAATGATTATTGAGAGACAGAAATAGATTTCAAAATGATCTTGGAGGGGGGAAACAGCATCCTGGGATGTGTAAACTGAAGCATAGCCAACATGTGTGGAGTAATTTTTTTGCTCTTCACAGCACAAGTAAGGCCAAACTATCCCCTTTTACATACATCACTTCAGCAAAACTGTGGGCTGACTGGAGGCATCTGAAAGAAAAGCAAGGAGAATGATCAGAAATGTAGTAGGTGATCTGCAAGGAAAAATGGAAGAACTTAAGGTTGTTAGAAAAGAATCCTGAAATTAAACATAACAGTTTTCAAGTATGCGTTATCACTCATGATTGGGACAGTAAGTAGCAGACTTGAACTGTTGCAGCACATTGGAAGTGCTGAAGAAGAATTCAGAGTAGGTATTAGGTAAAGGTGTTCAGCTGTAAAGACAGTCAATCACTAGAATCTCCTGCCTAGGAAAACTATACTGTCAGTTGTTAGGTATTTGCAACACAGATTTGAGAAGAACCTGTCCAGAGGGCCAAAGGTAGGCTCAAGTCTTCTGTATGGTAGTGGGACGAAGCCAATGGCATCCCAGGTCCCTTCCCTTAGAACAATGCCTGTTTTCTTGGTAAATCAAACTTTAATTCATGTTACATTTGTACTAGCAGGAAAACACCAGAATCTTGATTTACATCTTGATTACCTCCTTTACCTTCTCATTACCTAGGGGAAATTAAATAGTTTGCATTAAAATTGGCTTGCATATAGAACAATGTAAAATATTCACAATGAAATATGTACAAACAGGATAGTGCAGCCATACTTGCATTCAAATTAGCATAGTTTCACATACTCCTGTTGACAAATGATAATAATAAGGATTAGTTTATAAACCTTAATTCACATGTGGAAACCTGATTTACGCAAGTAGCTGAGTAGAACTACTTGCTTTTGAGATAACTGGTAAGTCCCAGAATTAAGACATGTTTGGAAGCAGGGCTGCTAAACTGTACAAGTTGGGGCCCATTCAGCAATGAATTTAAGTTCACACTTAACTAAGAGTACGCAACATCAGTGTAAGTCTGCTTGTGTTGAAAATGCTGAGTATGCTTTACTGGATAAAGGTCAGAATATGCATCGTCCTGGTTGAACTCTGTCTTATTTGATCAAAAGCTTCATTTGTTATTTTCTAAATTAGAAAATCATGATGTATGATAAGATATGAGATAATCAACGCATATCAATGTCTTAAAAAAGTGGTGCTAGGCATGTGAGCCCAAAAGTTGGGAATAAGGAAATTCTGTGCTCAGATTCCTTCTTCACCTTGTATCCAGGGCTACCCATATCTTTACTTTGGTTTCACTGATTATAGAAAGAAGACAGTAGTACATACTTTATTCTGTAAGTATACATGTAAAGCACACATGTAAAATAGTACACGTGTCATAGATACTGATATTAATATTTGTTAAGTTACATTACTATTTCTTTTTCAAAAATGAACACCTCCAGTTTAGGACTGTTAGTGCTGCTTCTCTCTAATTACATTTGAGATAATAACCGTAAAGATGTAATATACCTAAATTCTGGGGTTTTTTTTTGTGAAGTATAACAATGAAGGTCAACTGAAGAAATATTTGTATTTGTTGCATTCAATGTAAAAGGCACAGAATAGTCTATAAAATCCTTAGGACTGTGGGCATCTAAATTAAGCCTGTTGGCAGAAAGATAAAGTTTGAGTACATACATGTATATCTATTGATTTAAATGGGTCTTACTGCCAAGGCATTACAAATGAGACTGTCAGTGTAGTAGCAGAGTACATCAGCAATATCAGGCAGACCAAGGAGACTGGGACAAAATTATTAATGGACAAATCTTATTTAAGAGCTAATATAACTTAAGTTTTCTTTCAGTGTTAAATATGGAAAATGTACAACCTAAAATTGTGAGTAAACACGATACGTTATTTTTTAACTGTTACTAAAAATTAATCAGTTTTGGGGAATACTATTTCTTGAGTAAATATGTTGCTATTACATACGTTTTCTTTTTTAAAGTCTTTTTTTGGGGTTTCTTTGTCAAAAGGATGTATTCTACTTAACTAAGAAATGTGTTTGTACAACTCAAAGTAAAACCTATGCCTTTGCCTTCAGTTTCTTATGCCTGTTTCTTTTTTTTCCTCTCTGTTTTCAGGACTCATCTTCCTTCAATCAATCCTTCCAGATTCAGCCCCTCCCATTTCCTCTCCATCTTTCTCTTTACTTTTAGATCTTTTTAGTTTCTCTCCTTTGCTATTTCCCCAGGTTATGTAGGTTTTTAAGTTGCAGTGGCAAAATTTAATTGCTTTCTATTTAATAGAAAAGGAAAAAAAAAAAGAGAAAAATCCTAAACCATATCGACTAGCCTTGAAATAATTTTCTGAAAAACACAAGCTGTTATGTTTTTATCCATACAATGATAGACATACTTTCATTTTGAATGATGCTAAATTCTTAGGACTGGACTTGAACTATTTTTGTGCACCAGGTTTTTATCTTTAGAGTTTTTCCTTTAAAAATGGGATTTTGTTCTCAGTTCATAAGATTGGAAGTATTAAACTACACTTGTCCTTGATTCAGTTTGCTGCTTCTTCATGGTCCAAATTGCCCTTCATGCAGAGCTGAGCTTGTAATATGTACTCTAGATGCTGAGTAAATGCTTTCACTGGCTGTCCCTGGCTTACTTACTCAGCCAGTCTGAGTCACCTTCAAAACATCAAGATTATGTGTATATACACTGTAATAAATAACCACCTGCACTGAGGTAATGCAAATTGAATTTGTTGAAATATGGCCTATTATATTAAAATTTATGTTTCTATTATAATTTTTATTGTATGAAACAAATTTGTCCTGTATAAAATTACTGAGAAATAAGAACTGTATCCATATATAGGAAAGCTTATCTTTTCTTGGGAACTGTTTAATAATAGATTCTTACCATGCACCTATCGTCTTAAGTGCCTATTTTCTTCTGCGTCCTCTTAAAAATGCATAGCTAGATTTTGTCATTCTTAAAACAGGTCAGATAACTTAATCATAATGTACTTGTGTATATATCCTAAATATAGACGATTAGAAAGTTAGTTTCTTTTTGTACTTGAACCAGTTATTTTATAAATAATATCAACAGATTAGAAATAGACATAAAACATATTCATTAAAGGGATTTCAAGACAAACTTCTACTATGGGGGTATTTTCATTCTGAATCTGTACAAATGGTGACATGGTGAGAATGAAGGTGAGATATGATGAGGATAGGACTTTGAAGCTGACACACCTCTAGTGCTTTTACAGGACTGAAACAAGTTACTTAGTGAACTGTATAACAAACAGTTCTTTTCCTGAATGAAAGAAATAAACATTAAAGGAGAAAATTTGAAATCAATTGGTAAATATACAGGCACTAAATTAGCCTTATTTCATGCTAATTCAGCTTTATTGAACTCATATCACCATCTATAAAAGCTGCCTCTGCTGTTCAAAGTAATATCCAGTATATCTCAATTAGCAATGTGTTAACCTTTCATCCAAGTTGTCTAGCAGAGTGAAGCTAAATAGATTAACTATCAAAAAAGGGAAATAAAAATCTAAGAACCAAAAGAGAAGTTAAAAATATTTTTATTTTTGATAGTAATTTAAAAAAATGACAATAGAATGGTCAAAATAATATTAAACCATGAGCATTCCTAAATCTGATAATATATATTTAATTATTTTTTAAATGTTGGAACTGGCCCTGAATTTTAAAAATGTTTGGAATAACAGTAGGCTGTACCTGGTCTTAGCTAGTGTAGCCTGCTTAGTCTTAACATAGAAGCAAGATATCTGAAGAGGATCTGAAGAACATCCTGTTTCAGAAGACAAATGGAAATTTTGACAGTTTATTTTGGTCAGGGTTTCAAGGTGAATAAAATAAGTGAAATACAGTGATGGTCCATTGGTATATGCTGTGTCATAAAGCTATTGCTATAGTTTTTGATAAAAACATGTAATGACAAACAAAATTAATAATCTTAATTTTATAACCTGGAGTAGTTACCTAAAGAGGCTAGAAAGAATTATTTTCCCTTTTTCATGCATATTTTGTCTTTTACATTGTTGTTTTTTCCTTCCCTTCTGACACTTTCAGGTAGGCTTATGTCTTAATTTCTGTAATACATTGAAAGTACTAGATTGTTATGCCTTGCTCACATTCTCCAGGTTAAAGTGGTCACCAGATTTAGAGGCAGAAAGTAGTTTCTCCTGAGGCTATATTAGCAAGGGTTTTTATAAATTTTTATTTCTAAATTTTTTTATAGCTAATATGGTGCACTTACTAATATAAATTTGGTATTTTCACCTCTTGCTATTAGAGACCTAAAAGACCACCTCTGAGTTATTATTTTTCTCTTGTGGCTTGTTACATCATGTGGTCTTTGGAATTTTACACTCAGCTTTAAGATTTCTACTGGGTATTAAGAAGGGTTTTGAGACCCATATGATGTGCTGAGTACTTAAATCTGTGCATTAAACATCTGTGGTTGCTAACCACTGAAAGGAATTAGAATCTATGATCTGAGCCTTCATTTCTATAACTGTGGCAACATTTTTCTACTTAGTTAAAATTCAAATTCAAATCACATTTCACTAGTTCATAAAATGCATCCTTCTGGTAACATAGTTTATAAAACAGACTAAAGATAATGATCACTCATACTTTTAGTCTTTTAGTTGTGATTTTTAATCTTTTGGGGTGAGACACTAACTGAATTTGAACTCTTCTATATTTTGTGAATTAAATCAGTTCAATTCTGAGATGTTCTTTTTGTAATTATTTGATCTTGGCTTGATTTAAATCTAAGAAACTATGTGGCATTATTTTTTTTTTTTTATCACATATAAAAGCACAACAAGAAAGGCAATCTATGAGGTTCCAAGAACATATGCAACAGATGTGTATTATAGTGTATTTAAACCTGAATTTCTTCTTAAATGTAGCCTAATATCTGTACTAAGTATTTTAGTAATTTAAAAAATATACTATAAATCATACAGGATGGATAATGTTTCAGAGTTATTGTCGCTATTGATACCTTCACTCTCGAATTCCAAATTTTGTTTCAGGCTTTTTCTAGTGCAATCTGAATATGACATTAACATTTTTTTTTCTCCTTTACTCACTAATAGAAATTGTGACTATCATGAATGGAGGGACCATATGCTGCTTTGAAAAGGCAGCAGGGACCATGGAGGCAGTTTATAAATGATCTGAGTAAGAAATGAACAGAGACCAATTAAGCTAGTTAGGAGGCCGAAGGTTTTGGAAAGCGAGGATACTATATTTGGTTCCCTTCAAAAATGATAGAAGATAGAATTAAAAATTAGTACCATTTTTTTTCTGTCTTTTTGCCTAATAATTCCTTCTTCACTTGTAACAATAAAGTACGGTTTATTTTTCTTTTTAGTGTGGGACAAGGATTTTAACACTGGAAGTTGTTGCATGTCAGTGAAATTACCAGGATGGGACAAGTGGCCACTCACAATATGGCTTTTGTCACTGAGGAAAGTCTGTGCACTAAATAATGCATGCACAATTACCACATTAATCAGGCTGGTCAAAACAGGTGATCCAGTGAATATCTTTGTGCCCACTGCCATTTAATGCTATTCAGCCATGTATCTATTATAACTATTCATTTAACACCACAGGTGTGCTAAGTGCTTTGCAGATAACATGGAGATGAAGGCTCCTTTCTTAGAGAATTTAAATGCAAAATATCTAGAATACAGATTGAACGGTAATAAAATGCAGGAAAATCTGAGCGGCTTTTTTAAAACCATACTTTAGTTAATTTCTTGATCTTTATTTAGCTTTTGAGAGCTATTTTGGGAATATGTTTTAGGCTTTTTTGAGTCTCTGGAAAGTATCCAATTAGTGAGAGAAAAGAACGTACCGGAGGAAGGGTTTCCAGATGTAAAGGGCGGAATGAAAAAGTGCCACAGAAGAGAGCGAAGGGACAATTTGAATACAAAAAGCAGGCAGATGAAGACACAAATGGCTTATTATAGTTACTATTATTTCTTTTGTAAAAGCCAAAAAGAAATAGTAAATTCAGTATTCTACTTGTATTAATTATATACAGAGACAAGAATGGGAAAGATATAGTGCTGACTTAAATGCAAAGGAAAAAGTCATATTGAGTTAGGAAGACATTTATTTTAAAATAAAGAAAACTCCAGGAATGAAAAAAAGAGGTTTCTACGAAGATTCTCCTAAGTATTCCTAGAGAATCTTAGAGGTTCAAACATGACAAATATCTTTAAAAACGAAGAGTTTTGATTCCACAGATAAGTATGTCAAACTGCACACTGCAATGTGTGCATTAATTAGTGGTTGCAGTCACAAAATTAATCCATTATTCTCTTTTCCTCTCCTGTAAAACTGTCGTGTGTGTGTGTGTGTGTGTGTGTGTGTGTGTGTGTGTGTGTCCCCGTTCCCCCCCCCCCTTACACAAAGTGACAAGGGCCAGACTGCTGGTGTATGGGAACCATACAGTCATTCAGGCCGACCAGTGTTGTTTTATTTTTCCCTCATGCTTTCCCATATGTCTGCCTCTATCTGTTGTCTTGTGTCTTGTACTTAATGCTAGAAGGACCTTTGACCAACATCCTTTCTTCCTCCTGATTTTGGACAGGAGAAAAAAGAGATGCTGATCAAGGTCTGAAACTCCCAGACATTAGGATAATACCAGCAATACACAACAATAGTAAAATAATGTGGAGCATGTAGATCTCTGCTTTGCCTAGATAAATGAAACAACATAACATGGTGTATCTGAAGTGTACTGCATATCTAAGTATCTCAAAACACTTCACAGATTATAGTGATTCATTGTAATTGCATCATGATATTGCCATTATATTGCAGTCATGTTATCATTTCTGTAATAAACATTTATCTTAGGAATGTTTGTGTGTACCACATAATTAGCTCTAGAATAGAGTGCTAAACGTGAGGTGTGATTCATTAGGAGAATGATAGAATTTGATTTTTAAATTCTAACAATTTAACTGGTACTTGTTAAAAGTGAAGTTTTGTTAATTGCAAAACTCTGATGTAAAACAAGCTTAAATAATGATTGAAAGCTAGTACGTATTTAAATATTAGCACAATTAGTTATTGTTGATTTTTTCATTTCCTGTCACTGTAAAATGTAATCAGTAGGTCTGGAACTGCTATATTTATGATTTCAACTAGGACTGCTTGATCTAAAGTCTAAACTATGAAAGCCCTTTATTCATCAAACAATAACCTGGAATAACCATTTTATTCAATATTTTCTTGCCTGAATCTGACCTTTAGTATCACTCTGAAAGTAGGTTTGCTATAAAGTATTTATAAAATTCAAAAATAAATCCACTCTTCTATCAAGATGTAACCATACGAAAGGAAACTGAAAATCTTCATTAGAAAATCACTGTAGCTTAAAAGCAAAATATACTGTGTTTTAAGCTATTCTATTCTGCACAACTTTTGGCTTCTGAGGTTTGTCTGCATAAGGCATTGATTTAATTCTAACTTAATTAGCATGGTTACTAGAAGAAATGTAGTCATATTAGCTCCAAGTATGTTTATATAGCACTAAACTATGCTGTGAGGACAGTGCCCTTCGTTTCTGAGACTTCAGGTGTCATTCTTGTAAGTATATCTGAAACCAAAAAAACCCAAGCAAACTAATCCCAGAAGCCCCACAAAGAAGAGGAGGGTAAAAGTAAATGAAAACTATTTGGCTTGCTTTGCTCCCAGCACCTGAGAACTTCCGAAAAGATCATATAAAGTGAATCTTGTGGTGCAACACAAGCATATAGTTTAAAAAGTTTTTATTTTATTTTCAGAATAAAGACTGAATAATACTCAAACATTAGTCTTATAATAGAAGAATATCAGGATGAAGATCCAGATCCAATTTCAGATCTCAGCACCTAAATCTCTAGGCTTACTGTGTCAACCTTCAAGGAGCCTGTGGAGTCAGGGGTATCCTAACAGTGGATTGGACAGTTGTGCCTAAGAACAAGAATTCAGTAGGAGGTAGGCAATACATGACCCATGATATCTGCAGAACTATAGACAAACTTCTCCATGACAAAGGATAGGCACACATCACTGAAATTAATTATTTTGGGAGGAACTACTAGAATTCACAAGTGAAGAGCCTTAGAAACTGGTCACCAGGACAGTGGTCCTACTTCACCAGCACTGAAGAAAGGTGCTCTTGCTGTTCTCCGTAGTAGGAAAAAGTTTCATTTGCATCTCATTTACGAGAGAGTGAACTCGGGCAGCTCCTTTCTGGTTGCATATTTAGCAAGTTTTATGCGGAGAATTGTTTACATTACTGGCGAATTGTTTACATTACCTCCTTAATGTTTAATTACAGTTTAAAAACAAGGCCCCTGTAACAAAGGGCTGAGTCTCTATCTGCATGCTGCGAGGAAGGCCACTTGGACGTTTAGGTAGTGTTCCACCTGGTTTCTGATCCCAGGAATAGAGCTGGTTATCCAAATGCTCGGGGAAAGCTGTTCTGGGAACTTGCTCATTGAGAACATTGATGTGCCTAGAGAACTTTCCAGTCAAAGAGGAGTGTTTAGCCAGGTAGCTTGTATTTTCTGTGAATTGAATTTCAAGTTAAAATGTGGACTTACTCACCAAAGTCTGACTGAGTAATTTTTACAGTTTTGGGAATCTGAACCTAAATCACTTATGTTATAAACTAGCTTCAATGATTTTACAAAAGTGTATTACTGATTCCCCAACGGGCCAAAAAATTATTTGTATAACATAGTGCCATCAGTTTATTTCTGAAGCTCAGGCACAATTATATAATTATAAATTACTTCTTCACAAACATATACACATGACAAGGACT